TTTTTTATTTTTAGGTATTAGAATACTTAAATGATCTCAAACAATATTGGAAAAGAAGCTATGGATATACCATTAACAGTAGATCCAGCTGTGCCCTGTTTCAGGATATCTTTCAGCACTTGGACAAAGCAGTTGAACAGAAACAAAGGTAAAACTCTTAAATTTTGGAAAAACATTCTGAATTTGCTATTAGGTTTCTGAAAAATATTGTGTATTAGGTTTTTAAAAATATTCCATGCTGGGCCAGGGACATAGCTCAGCAGCTTAAGTGCCTGCCTAGCAAGTGAAGGTCCCAAGTTTGAGCCCCAGTACAAAAAAAAAAAAAAAAAACGAAAGCTGCACTTTTAAAAAATATAATATATGATTGATACTGTCTATATATTGGTCACTGGGAATTAGGTTGGTTATTGTCTTCTAAGACATGCTTTTTTCCTCTGGCAGCATAGAGTTTATAGTATTTGTTGTATTATTGCATACAGGTGTACTAGCCATTACAATATTCAATAATGTGTGTATACTACAGTTTATACTATACCATCACCTCTTATCAGCGAGTAGTTTCTGTTGCTTTAAGAAATAACACACTTATGCCCAAGCAGTGCTTTAAACAACTAATCTATCTGGCAAGCCCCCAATTGTAGAAGGAAATAGCATACTTATGAACTCTGTATAGAGTTGCTGGTATGAATGTGAATGTTTTTGAGAGTTTTGCATAAAAATATTTTTTAACATTCATATTTTTGACATTTTGAAATAATAATTTTCATGGGACTAGGGGTATAGATCAAGGGTGTAGCATAAGACCCTGGTTTTAATCCCTACCACCAAAAACATTGGTTTTTATGACATGAATATTTGATAGAACCCCCAACCCCATTTTATCCGACAGATACATGTACAGGAAGACCTATATGCTAACAGTTAGTGATATAAATCATGCTGTAAAAGTTAAGACAGCAAAAACTGAAGGGTGGTGTGTTTCATTGTGTGTCCTGTACTGTTTTATTTAAATAAACATTTTATTTGTGATGAAGTATAATAACACACACCTGTTACCCCAGCTACTTGGGGAGTTGAGGCAGGAAAGTCACAAGTCCACGGCCAGTCTGGGCAACTTAACAGGACCTCTGTCTTAAAATAAAAAGTAGAAAGGACAGGAATGTAGCTGAGTGCTGAAGTAGAGCAGCCCTGAGTTCAGTCCCTAGCATCTCTCACACACACACACGCACGCACACACGCATTTATGCACCCACGCACGCTCACACATAAATACATGTTTTGTGGTTTTTGTTTTGTTTTGTTTTGACATTTGTTGTTGGATTTTCTTGGATTTGGTAAGAGGCCAGAAAAATCAGATTATTTAGTTTCTGCTACCAAAAACCTGCGGAATTTCACTGAAAAGAAATACCCTTCTTTGAGATAGGAGTTAATGTTTTTCTTGCTTGTTTTTATGAATAGTTTATGACTGTTAGACTTTACAAGATAACAGATCTTTCCTGTTTGCTCATTGTTAATTGTCCCAGTGCTGAATGTGAAATATGATAAACTTGAAATTTTGTGAGAAAGCTGTTAAAATAACTTTTGTAAGACTTGCTATTATGATGTGACTCTACAAAGTTTAATTTACAAGTGTACCACTAGTCTTTTAAAACAACAGTATTATGGCCAGCCAAATACCCTAGTGGATTAAAGCACCTGCAAGCAGGCACAGGAGCCAGGGGTTCAATCCCAGGGTCTGCCATGCCTGCCCCGCCCCCGGGATGTGCTGAGATGTCAATTGAGACTGGGCATAGTGGCAGGAGTCTGTAATCCCAGCTCTTGGGAGTTGGGAGGCTGTAAACAGGCGAATCACTACGAGTCCACTCTAGTAGTGAGACCCTGAACACCCTGTAGACCCTTCCCTAAAATACAAATAAATAAATAAACAGTATTTTTGTGTACAGAAAACTATATAAAATATCATAGAGAAAAATTGCAGCTTGACCTCAAAAATCAATATGTCATTTTTATGGATTAGAAGACTATGATAGGGGCCGGGGAGATGGCTCAGTGGAATAA